CGCCCCGGAGGTCGAGGTGGCGGGACCGCTGCGCTCTGGGCGGTCCCGCTGCCTGCGAACTCCGGGGCGAGAAAGCCCCGTTCGTAAGTGCGGATCCGACATAAGTCGGATCCGCGTAACTCGGGGACTGCCTTTACTTCCATCGTATTTGTTTCATAAGAAGCTGAAATTATCAGAAAACTTATTCTTTGTATTCTGTCATACAGTAGGAACATCTGTGAAAGTATGATCTACCATTGAAATGAATTAGTAAGGTAATCTTACTTCAGTGGATGTTTGAATTATAGCTGCAGAAACTGTTATGCCTAGCATAACAGTCTCTGAAAAAAACAGAAATTAGCTTTACATTGTGTTATGTTTATATCTTTGAATCTCCCAGTGGAAGGACCTTGACTACAGTAGTCACAAGAACCTGATTCTGACCTACAAGGGATTTGGACTTGAGTTTGTTTCATGAAGCGGGAACTGTTTGGGGCTCATCCACATCAGGGAATTTTGCACAGATGTGGCTTCACTGCTGCAAGTTCCTAATGTAGACAGGCTAAACCAGTGTAAAACATGGCTTGCACCAGAACAACTTACTCCAGTAACTTCCTAGAACAAATCAGAAGTGCAAGATCCATTTTCCAAGAGTGCAGCATCCCTACATTAAGAGGTTACACTAATTAGCTTTATCAGTACCACTTTCCTTAAGTTCTAATGGTTGCAAACCTTTAATAATGACAAGTGCTTTATGGATATGTATATTTTAAAATATTGTGTGTTGAAAGGGATGAGTTATCATATTGAGCACCAAGTAATGTTAGCAGCTCTAAAACTCAACCCAGGATGTGGTGGTGGTAAGATTTGCCTATTTTACTGTAACATGTTAAGTCTACTGATGAACTCCTTTGTCTCTCCTCTGATTTGTGTGTATCTACACAGTGCCAATACTGGAAGAAGGCAAATGATCCTAACTGTGACAATGAGAGATACACATTGTACATGGAGTGGGCTAGATTTTTACGGTTTTACAAGGAGCAGCCTTTGGATCTCATTAGGTAAGATATAGACTGTGAAGTGTGTGTTGCACTTGGCCACATTTCATTGGTTTTCACTGCATTCATTTGTGATTTGTTCCTCCTGGGGATTTTTTTTTTTCTAATGTTTGAGGAAAAACAGATAACAAAACAGGCATACACTCTGACTGTACACAGTATGGCTATGTCTACACTGGCGCGATCTTGTGCCAGAAATATGCAAATGAGGCTAAGCGTGGAATATCGCCAAGCCTCATTTGCATATCTAATGAGTCGCCATTTTGCACAAGAGGCTCTTGCGCACTGCCGTTTTTCCTGAAAATAATCAGCGTAACAGCATTGTGCAAGAGGGTTTTTCTTGCGCAAGAAGGGGCAGTATAGACGCTCCTTCTTGTGCAAGAGCCTCTTCCGGAAAAATGGCAGCTCATTAGATATGCAAATGAGGCTCAGCAATATTCCACGCTTAGCCTCATTTGCATATTTCAGGCGCAAGATCGCGCCAGCGTAGACATAGCTTATATGTTTTATTAGAGATAGGAAAATCCCTGTCTTTAATCTAAAGTCATTCAATCAGCCAAACATACAAAGGGCCAATTTTCCAGACCTGCTTTGGATGAAAAAAAAAAAAAAAAAAACTGTATAAGGAGCATCAGGTATTTTGTAAAATCTGTTGATCTCCTTTCACTGCTTAATGTAGAAATGTTTCAAGAGCAGTGAGATGTGGTACACTGAATCTGAACCTAAACAACTCTAAGCCTAAAAACCAACATAAGATCTGAGATCTAATCAATGTTTCCTTAGTCCCTTTGTTTAGTAACACATCTTCTTGCCTTTATGATAAATATCCAGGCCTTTTAAAAATTATATATTTGGAGCCACTGTGAATTTATCAATTTTATTCTGCCCTTTTGGTACATAACACAGGTAAATTTGCATTTTCATAATTTTGCGGGGAAGGAAGTGTTTCTTAAGTTATTCTGGGTGGGGGAAAGAAAAGAGTGCTTCATACATCTGTTGTATATGCTCAACATTTTTAATTATCTTTTATGGGCTATCATTTATACAGAATAAATCATTGGATTTACTATTCGGTGAGGTCAAAAGTTGGCCCATTGTCTTTATTTTTGCCTGAGTCTTGCCAGTTTGTTTTTTTGTGATTTGTATTCTTCTTGTATTTCCTTACCAATTGTGTTCTTTGTGTGCAGGAAATACTATGGAGAGAAGATTGGAATCTATTTTGCCTGGCTGGGTTTCTATACAGAAATGCTATTCCTTGCAGCAGTGGTTGGCTTAATCTGTTTTCTGTATGGTTGGTTTACAATGGCTGAAAACATGAGCAGGTGAGTGTCACTGCCAATATTACACTGAAAGAGATATCTTTACCTTGTTGTAAAAAAGCAGAATTATAGTTTTAAAATGTCTAGTTGTATGCTGTGTGTTTAGAGTATCATATTTGCATAATAGCCTATATGTTCAGAGGTCGTTGCATAGAAAAGAGGTCATAATTTGTATTTAACCTTAGTGCAAAAAGCCACAAATAAGAATTATTCTGCAAATACAAAGCAACTAAAGAATGTAGTTCTGCTCCTTACAGAAAACCAATGAGCAAAAAATGTTTTAAGCAGAGAGGAAAATTTTGCTGTTACGCAGACAACCACAGTTGGACTAACTGTGGGACTGCACAAATGGAGCATCAATGTCCACTTTACAGTAAAAATCTAACCTATAGTTGGAAGTTTAAATTTTTGTTTTAATTTGGCAAAGGGTTTTCTCTTTGTGCTTGTATCAGGGCAATGGTAGTTCCTAAGGATACTATTGCTTCCCCCAGTAGAAGCTTCTCTTCCATTAAGGTTGATTATGTATCACTTGTTCAATTTTGCCATTTTGATTAATTTTGTAGTGAAAGCCATTTGCTGCTTCACAGGGCCAACAATAGTGAATAATTACTAAAATTGTCCAGGAGCAATACAGACAGCCCCCCCCACACACACACCAAAAAAGAGCCAGGCTTCACATGTAGTCGACATTCCAAGTTTGCTTTGGTCTCTGACATGTAGCTAAAAATACATTCAGGAATTTGCATCTCTGTGTCATGTTTTGCTGAATTATGCCAGTATGAGACTTGTTATATTCCTGATATCCTAGAGTCTTCCTAAAAGATCCCTATGCACATTCAGACTTAAATGGTCATTAGAAATTATACACGAGTCACTTAACTTACCACTGTAGTACAATTGCTTATGTCTTATAAAGTGGAAGCTGCTTAACATCATATACCAACATTGCACAATATAGAACAGAAAGTTAAAAAAAAGATCTGAATCAGGTTAAAATTGCAGGGAAATGTTTAAAAGCAGAATGTAAATAACAAAGTTGCAATTTTTGCAAGGTACTTGGATTCACGTTTCTGATGTTACAAAATAGATTATGAGGGTATGGTTAGACTGCGGGACGGGAAAGGGGGGGTTTTGGGATATCAGGGGTATCCTAAAAAACTCTTTACACATTTGCTCTTCTGCCCTTTTTTTTTTTTTTTGCGGAAGAGCGGAAGCCCCTGTATTCCTTGTTCTATGAGGAAGAAGGGAGCTTCTGAAAGAGGGTTAGAGGGTTTTTTTCCCGACATTTGGCCCAGTGTAGATGGGCCAAATGTCGG